GTCACGACGAGGCGTTCCCCATAGCGACCCCTAGAGGACGCAGTGTCTCGTTCCCTACTCAGGGAACCATGGTTACATAAGTAACCTGAGACGATTTCTTTCTTTCTTTTTTTTTTGGAAAGAAATATAGAAATTCCATTGGAATGGAACTAATGATTTCTGAAGGATCATGCAACTGGAGTAATGATGCTAAAAATATAGCTTTGAAATCACAGGAATAAATTGCATTTTAAAATATTTCCAAATAGAAAAGAGTTAATTTAAATAGTAAAATTATTTCAAAATGTTACTGTTTTTGCTGTATTTTGGATCAAATAAACGCAGGCTTGGTGAGCAGAAGAGACTTCTTTAAAAACAATAAAAAACTTTTGACTGGTATGTTAGAAGATATTAATAATTAATAAGGTGAGTCTTAGATGTTTATTTGACAGTGATTTCACATTTCTTGTTTGTATGAAGGCTAAATACAAATAAAAGGTGAACATTAATTTATTTGTGCTGGGGGTTTTTTCTAAAGTATTATATGGTTTTATATGAGGTGTCATAGACTTGGCAAATACATTTTTCATAAGTTTGTATACACAGACATCTGTTGTGGGCGTTTTTGGCAGTTTTTACAAGGCTTTTTAAAATAGTGTTCATATCGATATCGGAATTATATCGTATCGACCGAAATTAAGAAATATATCGTGATATAAATTTTGGCCATATCGTCCAGCCCTAACCTGACCTATAAAGAGCCTCGGCATACAACTAAAAAGTTCTATGCATCTTGAGTAAAACAGCTCCATATTCAACGGAGCATATACAAAACACTTGAACCGGAAGCAACGTGACCTGTTTTACAGAATAGGGAAGTCTGTTGCACATAACCCCCATTGCGCTCTTTCTTGTTGCAAGAAAGAAAGAAAGAAACTCACCAGTGACTGACATCTGGCCTGTGTCCCAAGCGGTGCTGTGACGCTTTCGAAGAAAGAGAACATACTGTAGCCATGTTGAAGAATTGTTCCAAACCAAATTTTTCTAAAGTTTGTTTCGAATGACCCCTACTTTTGAGCCATGCATTCTTCTATCCTCCAAAACTGCTGAAGGGATGATCACTTCTGAATGAAATGCAACCATCTCGAACGAAGAACCAATGCCAATTACTTCAATTAAAAAAATTTATTGTTTTGAATGCTAAAATATGATCTCAAAACTGCATGTCTGCTCCAATACAGCTTGTTGCATTTTTCAATTATACAAAAAAAACTATACTTTTTTTGAATCCTCTTCAGACCATGCAGACAAAAAGTTATGGAAATCAAGTTAATTTGTCAAACCCTTCTATAAAGGCTATAAATTATACTATATGGCCTTTTATGCCTTTATGTTTGGTTGTTGGAGGTGCAGTTGCACTATATGTTGGTGCGTCAACCGTGAGGCTATCCGCACTGACTTGCTTATAATTTCTGAACAGTTTGGCCAAAAATCCCAAGACTAGTCTCTTTAGATTTGGTGCAACACCAAGTTGAACCATACCCAATTTACCCATGTCGGCCATTTTGGGCATTGGCCATTTTATATTTTGACGTAAATTGCAATATTTTACAAATGCATTGGCGTATCTACAAAACTCGGCATGTGTCTGCTGCACCGTGCCCTGAAGGTACTCAAAAAGTTTCTTATGGCCAAAAAATTATAATGAAATAAAAAAAGCTAATATCTTTTGGTTTGTTATGCCTGTTGTCATGAAAGTCATCTTGATAGATTCCTTTGGTCACGCCAAGAACACTGATACCAATTATGCCATAATTGGCCGAACTTTATGTCCACCATTTTGATTTCCTTTGAAAATCTTCTTTTTCAAACTCCTTGACTGTTGGTCCAATTTTCATTAAATTCAAATCAGGTCATCTTCAGACCATGCTGACAAAAAGTTATAGATTTCATGTCCATTCGACAAATTGGTTCTCATTTACTGCATCAACGACTTTGATGGCATGATGTCAAACTGCATCTGAGGCTATATCTCTGGCAAAGCTTTGACATATTGACACAAAAACTTCGGGTGTGCCACCACACCACATCAATTTGATAACTGTGCCACCTATTGGTCAAAAGTGACAAACCATTAAATCATATTACTTGTGATTGTGTTTATGACTTTTTAGCCATTTTGATTAAAATCATCTTTATGTCTTTAATTACTAATTTTTGCAGTTGATCTGTTGCTCACTGCCTTGCTTGCTCACCATTTTGCCTCTGTAGTGCTTGGTCCCTTAATTGCTAGTTGCAACTATATTTATTATTATTATTATTGTTTTGTATATCAGTGACTCCACTGCTATGAATCACCATTGAGCAGTTCATCACTCATCAGACGTGGTGGAAATCAATGTGAGAACCAATAATATGGAGAGTAATATCGATTTTGTTTTCCAAAGTAAAGACAAAGTTGGAACAACCGTTTAAGTAAATAGAACCACCAATAAAAGCAAGGTTTCCATGTTTTCACACATCCTTTTATGGCTTATGTATTTTATTCAGTAAACTCCAGAACATAGAAATCATTACACCTACAAAAAAAAAAATGTATCCCTCCACTTTTGGAAAGAAATATGTGCTTTTCAAACTTATACCTTAATGTGCCATTCCCCTCCCCATTTCACATTTTTCCCCACACCATTAAAACTACTATGTAAGTTACTGTGCTGTTCCCTCCATTTCAGTATCTTTCTGGAAATGTTGGTGAAGCAGTGGAGTGCAGAAGCATTACCTTTACACAAACACTGTGATAACTGCAAATATGAAACTGCAAATCTTCAAATATTAAAGATTAAAAGTTAGAAACACATGGTAATGCATATAAACTATGCTCACTTAGATTATTTTAAAGACTAATTATTGGAATTTGTCTACAATTTAATTTGGATTGTCTGTGTGTGTTACACACTTACACACTTTTAGTACACAAATAATTTAAAAGTACATTTCTGGGACAAGTGAGAATTCAAATGTAGACTTTTTTTTTGCATACTAAATACTAAAAGTCAAACAAATGAGTCACGGTGGTCCCACACACACAAATGCATGAATTATTATTGAGACCAGTCTGCTTCCATATCTTGCACCTGATTACAGTGTGTGTGAGTGCGTGTCTAAGTACCTGCCATACAGAAGCAAGTGTAATCTCCTATATGGTCCAAGCAGGTGGCGTGATTTTTGCAGGGGTTGGAGCCACATTTGTTAATGTTCCACTCACAGCGTGGACCAGTGTAAACCGGAGCACAGTTACAGGTGAATGAGCCCTCTGTGTTCTTACAAGAGCCACCGTGCTCACACGGGTTTGGCCTTGGGGTGTCAAAAAAAGAGGGTTAGAAAGTTTCAGGCAAGATATGAAATGCATAAAACACTGTAATGTGTGTGCAGGGAAAGATTAATATAAATACAGAGACACACTGAGAAACACAGACAGACAAAAGTCCTGCAAACTGTCTCACTGATGACACACTCGTCGGCACACGTGCTGCCCTTGTATCCTGAGGGGCAGTTACAGTTGAACTTGCCATTGACGGGGTTCGTGTCACATTGAGCTCCCATCTTGCACAGGTTATTGGTGCAGGCATCATCATTGTGACACAGCAAACCTTGAACACAAAAACAATCACTACTGATATTACAACTGACCTGTCTACTTTGGACAACAATCAAATCATAATAAAAATGCATTATTTTAGAGATGCATCATTTCACTGTAAAAACTTGTTGTGTACGTTGTTGAGATTTGGTGTAAGAGTCATTTGTGCTCATGACTGAAGTGATCAAGTGTCTTAAGAGTCATTTTTAGGTCATGTGGTTGTTTTTACTGACCAGTCTTGCTGGGAGGGCAGCTGCAAACGAAGGAAGCCACGCGGTCGATGCAAGTGGAGCCGGTGATACAGGGCGCATCTGCGCAGTCATCAATGTTTTCAGAGCAGTCAGGGCCGCTCCAGCTGTTCACACATACACAATTGTAGCCATTGTGTATGGAATGCCAAGCAGGTCACAATTCGCCATTAACCAGACGCCTGGTGTACTACAAAACAGCGTATTTTACGGCGTTTTTTCGTCTAAAACGCTGTAAAATACTGCGTTTTCTACACACCAGGCGTCTGGTTAATGGCGAATTGTGACCCGTTTGGCGTTCCATAGTTGCGCGTGTTACTGCACGTGCCTCCGTTCTGACAGGTGTTGGGCTGCAGTCTGCTGCATTCATCCACGTCATCGGTGCAAAACTGTCCTGGAAAAGAAAGCTTCACAATTTAAGTAGAACATATTGAAGGATGTTTAAAAAGAGGTTTCCACTAGCATAGAGAAGCCTGAATCATTTTAGGGAATTGTTCAAACTGGTTTAAAAACAATTCACCAATTTCAGCTTGTGTCAAATTTTGCTTTGAATCAGTGAATAATTGTTTGAATCAAAAAAGAAAAGAAGAGAATTGGTTCCAAAATTATTTGTTCATGAATCTGCTTGACTGCATGATTTAAGAGAAAAATCGAATTTCCTGAATATTCTGTCATAGTTTTAAGTCATGCGAATATTTTAAACAGTAATTCAAGATATTATTTTTATATTGTTAAAATATAAAAATGAAAGAATTCAGTCAAATGTTTTACTATTACAATAATAGTACTGTAGTATTATAATTTATTATTATTAATAATAATAATAATAATTAAATTTTTCAAATAATATTAAAACTTAGTTTTTTGCTTTTAAACGTTAAACCATAGAGCTTTTATTTTTATTATTTGATTTGTTTTTTAATTATTAAAATGATTGGTTTGTCAATCAATGTCTGTGAGGGATTTCCATTAATGGAAAGTGAAAAGATGGAGCAAACACACATAAAAACACACACACACACACATAGTATATAAAGCTGTTTTCATACCAGTCCATTCAGGTGGGCACTGGCAGTTGTAAGTGTTCACTCCATCCATGCAAGTGGCTCCATTCTGACAGCGGTGATTCGGACAATCATCAATGTTCACCTCACAGTTTGTTCCATTAAAACCTGATTACAGGAAAAATAAAGCTTTTTATCATGCAGCGCTATGGGTTTCCATAATTGTTTCTGTCCAAGCATTCCTGTTTATCACTGTGAAGCTGCTCTTAGACAATTTGTATTGTACATAATGTATTAAATAAAGGTGACTTGACTTGAATTTTATTTAACATCCTGTTTGAAATCGGAAATAAAAACCACATGGTATAAAAAACAAGCAGACAAGTCATCGGAACTGGATTGTAATGTTAGACAGACATAAATTTATAGTCAATGTTTTTAATAGCATCACTGATCAAATTTGTCGCAAAGGTAAGCAAGAAATATGAATCCTACAAAAGACTAGATAAAAGACTGGATGCTGTTTTTCTTCATTATTCCTATGGCCTGTATTGCCTTTGTATTCTTTACTGAGTTTTTGTTTTGTTTTTGAGTTTTGCTTTTTGCTTTAGTTGTTAGCCCATTGGTTTTGTGAATATTGGAGTGTTTATTTGATTGTTTTGTTTTCCTTTTGGGTAATTTGTGAACAAGTCGTTGATGCAATGTTCTATCAGTAATTTACGGGGGTGGTTAGTTAAAGGGTTAGTTCACCCCAAAATTAAAATTCTGTCATTAATTACTCACCCTCATGTCATTCCAAACCCGTAAGACCTTCGTTCATCTTCGGAACACAAATTAAGATATTTTTGATGAAATGTGAGAGCTCTCAGACCCTGCATAGACAGCAACGCAACTGTAATGTTCCCAGGTCCAGAAACGTAGTAAGGACATCGGTAAAACAGTCCATGTAACATCAGTGACTCAACTTCAGTTTTGCGAAGCTATGAGAATACTTTTTGAGTGCAAAGAAAACAAAAATAACAATTTATTTAACAATTGTTCTCCCCCGAGTTACGTCTTCTGCCATTTTGGAGAGTACCCAAGAGTGTAATCTGTAATACTTCTTTTTTTCACATACTCTTTTTTCCCCTACTGTATAGTAGGGAAGTATGCAATATCGGATTCAGCCTGTTTTCTTCTTCTTCCTCGATTTTAAAGGGCTCCTATTATGCCCCTTTTTTACAAGATGTAATATTGGTCTTGGGTGTCCCCAGAATGTGTCTGTGAAGTTTCAGCTCAAAATACCCCACAGATCATTTATTATAACATCTGGAAAAAACATCTGTCATTTTTGAGGCGTTTAAAAAAAAAATAGTGTGTATCATTTTAAATGCAAAAGAGCTGCATATTCCCGCCCCGTCTTGAGAAGAGGGTGTAGTTTATACATCTCTGCTTTGCATACCTAAACAGTCGGTAGAAGCAACATGACTGAGAGTGAGAGAACCAGTGTTCAGCCGTACATATGGGAAGCCAAACAAACCAAAAGTGGGACGAAACAGCGCAATGTTACAGAGCTCACGCCGCGCTGACCTGTCTCAATGGACCGAGCCACCGACTCAACAGTACAGGGAGAACGACAGGGAGGACGACCGACTCGACAGCGCAGGGAGGACATGTTTGTACGTGTTACATCCAAACACAGAACACCGGGATTGCTTACGAGACATGGTTGACGTTACAGCTGCTCGAGCGCGGAGAAAATAGACGACATCGTACAACCAAACACAGCTCACTGAGGGTGGAAACTATGGCAATGCAGCACTGTGAGTCAGCAGACGTGGGCGGGGCCTAAACAATGTGATGTCACATTGCTTGGGGAATCAAAAAGGCATGTCTACTGAGACTGATTTGGTTTAATGGGGATTATAAATAAACAGTGGGTGGATTTTTTTGTCATTTTAGGGTGGTTGTGTTCACACATTGCCAACACACATTTATGTTCAAACACTATGTAAAAGTGGATTTTGCATAATAGGTGCCTTTTAACTGTAGTTGGTATCCAATGTATTAGGTGCATTACTGCCACCTTATGCTCTGAAGTGTGGAACAGTTTTAATTCTACCCATCAGTCCTGTGTCCCTAATAAATTCAAAGAAAACTCTACAATGCATCTCGCTTGACAAGTTTTCTATTCTTTCTGATTTTCTCCATCAAATTTTTCCTTATTTGTTTGCACATAGTACATTCAGTAACTGCATGTGATATAGTCTTCTCAGTCTCCTTTTGAGTGAACCTACCAAAGAGAACCATCATTATTTTAACAAATGGAAACATTTATCATGTCAAATTTTAGAAAGGCACATGACCTCCAAATATTTGCAAAGGTTTTAATCTTACTTGTGAGTTTGCTCAGTGAGTGGGAACTTTAAACGATGGAATTATGATAGGTCTGTCGTTTTATCATGTCTATCTTGCACAATCTAAACCTTTGCTAAAAGGCCTGACTCATCTGCTTTCCTGGCAATATCTGTTTTAAAAATCACAAGAGGGGGAGATGGGCACATCAACACTACTCACAATCTTTAAAAATATTGATATTAAAATTATATTACTTATACAAAACATGGGGTTCTGCATCCCTTTTAGAAGTTTTCAGTACTTTTGTTTAATGTTTGTGCATGACTGTGAAAAACTGCTTTCCTGGCAATATCTGGTTTGAAAATCAGCAGATCGCAACTTTTGGTTGCAAATTAAAAACGAGGTAGTGATGGGCACATCAAAGCTGCGGTATTGATATATTAATACTCATAAGCATTAAAAATAATGATATTATAATTACATTAATAAAAACGTGGGGTTCTGCATCACTTTCAGAAGTTTTCGGTACATTTGTTTAATGTTTGTGCATGACTGTGAAAACTGAGCATGTAGCCATGCACGCACGCACACACACACACACACTTCCACATTAAACTGATTTTAAATACTTGGCTGACTTTTGTGGAGGTAATGGAGCTTACCATATGATATTTTAAAGCAGCAAATAACGAGAAGGATGGCTTTGCTAGAAGAGACAATGGATAAGTGGCCCATAATTTGAGTTAAATCCAGTCACCAGGTTGTGCTCGCCAGCGTAATGAATCTTAAAATGACCTCCATAGAGAACCTGTCTTTTAAAATGTCTCGTTTGGCCACATAAATCTGTGTAGTGTCTTGTTTTTAAATATGTAAAACTTAAAAAAGTACCTAGTACTTAAAGTGTGTGGGAGGACGTAGATCATAATGACAACAAATCTGTCTGTGATTCATATCAAGAGTTCTAATGAACAGGGTCGGGGTGTAGAACAAAACTTGCTCTCATCTGAAAAGAAGACTTTGGACCACTGGGCAACAGTTCAGTTCTTCTTCTCCTTAGCCCAGGTATATGGGGTAGAATTGTTGCTTTATTCCAAATAAATAGATTATGATCCACAAATAATGGAAAAGAGATTAACAAAAATTGAACATATTGACGAATAAATAGAATGAGATCCACAAGTAAATCTTAGTGTTTCACAAACATGAAATAAATTCACAAATAAATAAAATGCAATTTGCAAATAAAAAACATATTCACAAATATCTTTTTAAGTCACAAACACCACTTTGCCTGGCATTCATTTGTGAATCACTGGCTCTGCATTTGTGGATTTTGAAACATTTCTAGCGTCGAGACACACACCAATC